GGTAAAAATCAGAAATTGCTACAGAGACTTTATTTAAAGATCTCTTGGGATAAAGAAAAAATAAAAAAATTGAATCAGGAAATGAATAGCGTTTGACCTCCGGTCTGTTGTATAAGAAACAAAAGAGGTCAACAAAGTTCAGGAAGAACGTAAGAAAGGAATTCATAAGAAGCAAAGGAAAAATATGTAGCAGGGATAGGATACTGCCAGAAAAAATTTGCAGGGTGAGTGCTAGATACAGCGCTACATGTGTACTAACTGGTATCATGAATTTTATACCTTAATACTAAGGTGGAGAGTTCTTGTGTGATGGTTGCGATTAGACAATAAGAAGATTAGAAATTAGGATCGCGGTCTCCTAAGAGTACGCATTTACAAATACCATAGATAAAGAAGGTCAGAAATAAAGAGGTATTAGAAAGAATAGGAGAACGAAGGACTTAAAGTCAATAAGAAATAGACCAGATAGGTTGGTAGGACACCTTCTCAGGCATGAAGGTCTAGTCAGAGACATATTAGAGGCAAAAACGGAAGTTAGGAGGGGTAGAGGTAGACCTAGATTAGATTACTGTTCGCAAATAGTTAAGAATATGGGTTGTTCTAGTTTTAGGGAAATGCGAAGATTAGCTCAGGACAGAAAAGAGTGGAGGTGCGTGTCCAACCAGTCTGACGCCCTTATAATGATGATGATTTATGAACATATCTAAATTTAATCGTCTATAACTATTCCAGGGAGATCTATATTAGTATAACATGAAGGGTCGTCTTCTGCACCTTTCCACCACTTCTCAATGTTCTTGTAAGTTTTAGGAGTAAAATCGGTGTTCAGTTTTTTGCACAAATCACAAATAAAATACTTAAAAGATGAAACAACGTAATAGTCCGACTTCCATCGAAAATACTCTAAATATTATATTGTACTAATTCTACAACACTTAGGAAGTCTTCCACATTTATGTAGGAATGAGGGGGTGCAATTTTCTTGTAATCTGCCCTTCCATAAACTACCGGAATAACAGAAATGTTGTGAATATTGAACAATTTCTCTGTTACATAATCTATGCAGTAAGAGTTTTCAAATGACAAGTAGAACTTCTAATTGTTCTCTAACAATTGATAGCATTCGTTATCATCTTTCTGACATGATAGATCACCACATTTTCCATAAATATCGACTTTGGTATATTTCATTATATAACTTACTAAATTTTCCTCATTTACTGGAAATGTCACAGCTGGATACAAACCAAGCCACTAATTTCTTTCTTTTTTTCAAATCTTCTTTAGAAGGGACATCAACTTTTCTTTTTGATTTAACGTAAAAACCATAAGGATTTGGTATATCTGAGTCCAACNTACTTACTTGCTAATAACATGTGGTAGAATAGAATTTTTCCTTAAATTACCACTAGTAACCGAATATCCCTTTTTATTAAACGGTTACCGGTAGCAGACATTTTATTGTCGCTTCAGTTTAATTTTGCCGGTTTTGGATTATAAAGTTAAAATAGTAAATCTTTTACTTTATTATTCTTCTTATCTGTCATTCTATTTAAACAGTTTCTGTCTCTTTTATTACTATACTACCGATTGTTTCATGAAATTTAAATAAGTTACTATAGCGTTGATAAGTAATAAAAGAAAGGGACACTCTACAAACTGTTTAAATAGAGAAAGATACACAAAAAAAAACAGTGTTTGTTACCTGCTACTAGTCAAGAAAGATAAGGTCATCCTTCTCTTCCTTGTGGTAGATATACGGGTTAGTAGATTTATTGTTCCAGTAATAAATAATAAAGTAAATGATTTACAATTTAAACTGAAGCGACTATAGAAACTTTATTTAGCGTATTACGAAATTATATAAAATATGTATTACGAACCTGTAAGTCATTGTCCAGTTGTAAAATCCATTTGCATAATTAAGGTTTGCCTTTCTCATAGTTTTAGTTATAGTAATGTATTACATCTTACCATAATTTTATTTTTTAATTTACGACAGAAACCATGGTACTCATTATTCTACAGATTTTGTGGCAATATATTGAGGTCTAAAATAATGCAGAGTTCTTGGCGATATCACCGCATAATCACCATTTACCTATCGAAAAGATAGATAACTGAATTCAATATTGATTTTTTATAAGACGACGACAAAATAACAGGCTAAAGCGTACCTTTCATGCGTATATTATGGAGATCGAAAGTTTTCCATTCTTTAACAGGTAAATTTCTCTTACAATTAGAATATTGTTTCCTAATTTTTTATAAAGAAAATAAACACTTATCATAAGTTGATAAGATTTAAGAGTAAAAGTAAGTTGTCTTCAAACTACATGTATTTAATTCATAACTATTTAATGATGAAATATAAAAACAACAAAAATTAAACAAACAGCTATGGACTAAACCCATTAATGACAATTTACCTCAATCCGAAGAAAGAATACATACAAATTATTTAACAATTTCATGTTAGCTAATGGATAAAAACAATTTATTTCTTTATTTACTCAGACAATAGCCTAATAACATAATTATAATCATATTAGCTTACCTTATTATATAATTGAAAAACGTAGAAAAGGCAGGAAACTATTAGAGGGTGGGTGAAGACGGCAAGCCGCCTCACTATACCATGCATTATTTGTATCTTGGCGATTTTGGATTTGACTCTCCAATTATTATTGATATCACTATTTAAACGGTCGCTAATTGGCGTACTTACCCAGTAATAGGTGTTGGCTTGCAGTTTTAAATAAATAACTTAGATGTACCAACTTTGTTCTGGATACATTGTAACAATTTAACTGCCTGTGTGGCAATTTTTTAAACAATATAAGAAACTGACCCTTGTCACAAAGTTAGAGGGTTAAGAAGAAGCAGCTTCTTTTCAGTTAAACATAGTAAAACGTGGACAATGAAGGTTGTTTATTACGCTTATTTCCTAATGATTGTTTCAAAGCACCTGAAAACTGATTGCACCATTAGATTCNACAGTGCTACATGTGTACTAACTGGTATCATGAATTTTATACCTTAATACTAAGGTGGAGAGTTCTTGTGTGATGGTTGCGATTAGACAATAAGGAGATTAGAAATTAGGATCTCGGTCTCCTAAGAGTACGCATTTACAAATACCATAGATAAAGAAGGTCAGAAATAAAGAGGTATTAGAAAGAATAGGAGAACAAAGGACTTAAAGTCAATAAGAAATAGACCAGATAGGTTGGTAGGACACCTTCTCAGGCATGAAGGTCTAGTCAGAGGCATATTAGAGGCAGAAACGGAAGTTAGGAGGGGTAGAGGTAGACCTGGATTAGATTACTGTTCGCAAATAGTTAAGAACATGGGTTGTTCTAGTTTTAGGGAAATGCGAAGATTAGCTCAGGACAGAAAAGAGTGGAGGTGCGTGTCCAACCAGTCTGACGCCCTTATAATGATGATGATTTATGAACATATCTAAATTTAATCGTCTATAACTATTCCAGGGAGATCTATATTAGTATAACATGAAGGGTCGTCTTCTGCACCTTTCCACCACTTCTCAATGTTCTTGTAAGTTTTAGGAGTAAAATCGGTGTTCAGTTTTTTGCACAAATCACAAATAAAATACTTAAAAGATGAAACAACGTAATAGTCCGACTTCCATCGAAAATACTCTAAATATTATATTGTACTAATTCTACAACACTTAGGAAGTCTTCCACATTTATGTAGGAATGAGGGGGTGCAATTTTCTTGTAATCTGCCCTTCCATAAACTACCGGAATAACAGAAATGTTGTGAATATTGAACAATTTCTCTGTTACATAATCTATGCAGTAAGAGTTTTCAAATGACAAGTAGAACTTCTAATTGTTCTCTAACAATTGATAGCATTCGTTATCATCTTTCTGACATGATAGATCACCACATTTTCCATAAATATCGACTTTGGTATATTTCATTATATAACTTACTAAATTTTCCTCATTTACTGGAAATGTCACAGCTGGATACAAACCAAGCCACTAATTTCTTTCTTTTTTTCAAATCTTCTTTAGAAGGGACATCAACTTTTCTTTTTGATTTAACGTAAAAACCATAAGGATTTGGTATATCTGAGTCCAACCTATAAAATAAAATTTGGTTATTAACTTTTCACTCATAACATATTTTGGAATGTATCAATCTACTTTTAATTAGGTATGTTAGGAAATAAACCTTTCCAATGCATAGCTTTTAGGTTGGG